GGAAAGCATGAGATATTTCTGTAACTTCTGTTACGCGCGATCGAGATTTAAACAGCATTGCCGAAAGGAAAAAGCAGTAATGTATTTACATGCACGTCGGTTGGAGTACTTTTAATAAAGGATTATTAATCGCCGCTCATGATTAACGTGGAAGATCGAATCTCGGCCGGACAGTTTATTCAATTCAGCTTATTCCCCTTAGGCAGGGATTGTAACCTGGGGACCGGTCATCGCCAATATTTACCCAAACATATTACATAGTAATTCGTGATGACTTCCGATATTTATGGGCCGCCATCAGCCTCGGCATTGCATCATTAAACTTCATAATTAATTTTTGAAACGCGAACATTCGGAGCTCGGCCGGCGGCGTGCTGCGAACGTTGTCGGGGATTAATTGCTCATTTTCACTCTCGACGGTGTACAGAGCGCCTCATAATACACCGGTTTTAATTGCGACGCGCGACGAGGTTATAAAACAACAAACGAAGTCGTGTAAACATGCGCCCTATTTAACCGTATTTAAATTCCCTGACTGTTAGTCACATTTATATCCGCAAATTCAGTAATCGTTAGTTACGCTCGTGCGCCGGGAATGCGACTTGTACAGAAAAATGTTAACCAGCCGTTGTTAGCGTTGTTAAACAATAACGAATCACCAGATTCCGATTCTGTTTTGTATAAATCAACATTGTTGCTAACGTGGTATTGTGAAACTGGTGTACACACTGTTTACTTATTTGTCAAAGGTATTCTCGGTACGTTTGAGGCAATATAAAAATTTTCCTGAGGTTCCCATCTTTTCCTATCTTCGACATTTTCACGAACTATAATAAACGATCGTTGGCGATTATCTCAATCTGTGGAAGCTATAAACCATAATTATCCGTTCACAGTAATCTCAGTTTATAGAAGACGATTAAACATCGCGTTCTAAAGCACCGTACATCAATCGAGCCCGATGCTCGATCGATCATCGAGATTATCTCCTCCCGGGACACGCAGTAAAATCCTTTGATATCGCTCCGCGAAAGTTTTTCCTCACAAAATGGGGCGACTTAAGCTCGCCGTTTTAAGACAGGGGAGCTCGACGTGGCGCAGGTGATGAGGATTCATACGTCACCGCGATAAACGGCCCGCGGAACTTGTAAATTTATGCTAACTTTACGCACCCCTTAATTGATATACACGGTGGGTCGAAATAATATGGATCAGCGGGCGTGATGCAATTCTGAATTAACAAATAGTCGAGATTAACGTAATGTAATTCGATATTTAGAAACTATTGACCAATGAAAATTATTATACCATACGGAAATAATATACTAATGTACAGTTTCCATATAATAATTCTGATAATACAGTAAATTATCGTATAGTAACATATAGTTTCCATATAAAATAATCATTTCATAATATACCATATTTTCATATAGTAACATATATAATCATTTCTATATAACATAGTTTCAACTATAGTTACAATTTGCCCCGTGGTTTTTATTAAACGTAAAATTCGCCATCTTATTATACTTACAGCTCACCAGTTGCATTTCCCCAACCCACCGACTTCAAATGTTCACGTGAAACACCAGTAAGCTGGTAACAGAAATTGGAAAAGTCGCTAGTCCACGTATGTACAGTTATTCCGATCCACCCTGTATAACGAATATTTTTCGTATGCTAGAGAGGCAAGAGGGAAAGTTGGCCGCGAGACCGATACGGTCCCGAAACTTCGAGCCGCGGCCTTTCTATCTTCGCCAGGCGTTCTTTACTGGATCTCTCGGAGTGCAAGAGCGCGTAAACTTTCCCTCGCCCCCGCGATACGTTTCTTGAACAGGCCGCGGACACGATGGGAGACTCTAACGCGCTGAATTATGCACGGAATTTAATGGAACGAGACCTGCATCGTTGTTTAATTCACAATTAGAGGCTGATAGCTGCGGCAGCGTCGGGAGAGGAACGTCTGCCCCTCCGGAAGCGATATCAACAGCGAGAAGTTTTAATCATTCATTAATAAATTGGCGGACCAAAGGTAAAATGTTGCTCCTTCGTCGGGGATCGATCGATACTCGGCCGTTTCGAGTTTTCCCGTGTCCGGTGCGCCGAAACGCATTACCACGCGCGCGGAAGCTGGACGAGTTCCGTTTTGGATGGGACAGATTAGTTCGAAAAGGTTCAAGTGAGAGGGTTTGTTCAAGTTATCGAGTACTCGGGCGAGTTTGACAGAGTTGGGTGCATTTCGAATACATAGTTCTGTACGAATAATAGGTCGGATAAATTTGTAGTTCATTCATTTAATAGATTCTCGTTATCGTTAACTACAAAACTTGTAAAAAAGCTTGGAGCTGGTCATTTTGAGGATCAACGAGAAGCTTCGAATTTAGGCTTCTCAGGATTCTTTTAGAACACTTGTTTGTCACAATAATTGATCAGACGCAGAGAATATTTGAAAAAGTTATATGAAACAATGTAATAACGCATCAACTACGATGCAAGTCAGTTACAGTCAATTTGACTGCTGGTTCCAACGTTAAATCGGTCGAAGTATACGGCTCCAGCGTCAGCGACCCGTTTTCCGCGAATTCACGAAAAGGGAGCGACGATAAAAGCTCCGCTAGCCGTTATCGCGTCCTCCAAGTGGGCAGAACAAAAATGGCGAGCGGTATTCCTTAACCTTCAGCCTGGCCAGCGTCCATGTAAAATGCATTCGCGAGCAAGTTGCACCGGGTGGGCACGTATAGCGTATTCATGAATGAGGCCGGGCCGTTCTCCGGTACCGCCGGACGTCCCAAGCAACGGGCGGGTCGCGTAATGGCGCGTAAATTACGGCCACCGCGGCCCCTATCTTCGAAAAATACAGGACAACTCCGCGGCACGCCGCGTCTCCGTCGCGCATTAATGGAAACTTCTGTTATCGTGGCCCCGCAGAATCGCGATTATCTCGGCCGCGTATTACGCTCCGCCCGCGGCGCGGTCCGGATCGTGCAATTCGGAAGAAAAAGTTGAAAATTGAAGGTGAAAAACTAGTAGGAGCGTGTTAATAGAAAAAAGCGAATGCATCGCGTACGCGCTGTTTAAGCGCATAGCGACTTCTAGCATTAAATTACTCGTCAACGGAAAGCAGAGTGTATCACTAAATTAGTTAAGGAAGCATTGGACCACTTGATTTATCTGATTATTGCCGTTATTCCAATATTATTAATATTATTCATATTATTTCTTATATAAATTGTGAAATATACATAATATCTTACGAAATGAAACAGTAGTCTCTTGAGGAGGTATGCTTGAAAGATAATTTAAAGGACATTTATGTTTTGTCTCTTCGTGTGTTCCTTGCTATCCTGAACTTTATTGACCTATATTGCTGAAGAGTCTAGTATAAGCCCGGAACCGCGAGGGAACAACACTCTCGTGGCAAACGCACGTTGCATTAACGTATGAATATTCATGACATATGACCTTTTTTTTAATTTCTTAACGGATGCAACGCTCCAGAAGGAACTCGAAAGAATTTATATACGCCACTGGCAGTCAAATGATAAATGCAATTCTCTTTTACATTTTTCTCTGCGGACCCTTTTCCACGGCCACTCAGCTCTCCAGTGTCCTCGTAATCGTTTATTTGTGTCTCATTTATCTCCGCGGAAATGCGCTTTGCATTTTAATTACGTCAATTCCGTACTGATATAGTTTCATGCGTAATTCCCACGCGCGATACCGTACATCGTTCCTACGCCCTGGTTTCGCGGTCGAAGGATCGTGTACTGTTGATGAACGTCCGCCATTTTCTTTCATCTCGCGAGTAACGAAAACATGGCTGCTTAATAGCGGAGTTACGAGAGGCAGTGGACGCCACAAAGTATGATACATACATGTTCGTTTTTTAATTTGTGAAATGATAATTTACTATAGAAATTGTTCTTCTATTTTCTTATTTTTAATAGATTTAATCTCAGTAAGAATCTGTGACGCGTTTTTCTTCATTGTAATCAATGATTATGCTTTTCTTCTAAGTAACAACTCCGAAAGAAATTATTAAATTATCTTAGCCAATACGATCTGTTGGTTTGCAAATATTATTATTCTAACTACTAATGAAATGTATTAAAAAATCCGTATGTATTGATGACTGTTTTTCATAAAACAATTAGGTTATCACTCCTATGTGAAATGTCAGTTCCCCGTATCCTGTATGCGGAACTCAATAAATTATGGAACTAAGTGAATTCTCAATTAATCAAGCGTGATTGAAATGATTCCTCTATCTCTGCATCAACGATTCAGCGCTACTAATCGCTGCCACGCACTTCGCGTTAAACGATTCATTGTTCTAACAATGACTACCCTACGCGCAGATGAATAAACCAATTGCCGGCGTCACGTACTTATAAACTCTTGCAATATTGATATAATCCAAGCGAACCAAACGTTGTCACGCAATGGTGATCGATCGGAAGTTCACGTGACAATGTTCTTCCTCTCCTGATTTTTTCTTGTTTTCTTATTCGACTAATTTCGACTCTTTCTATTCGACAGGGTCTCGCCTCGGCAACTATCTTTGTTGTTTGGTGACCGTATGGAACGGAGTTCGCAACGAACCGAGCGTTTCCGGTTTGCTCTCGCATTCCCGCGTCCTCCGCATGGTTTCTCGTTACACGTCACACGTTACGCGTGACGTCGATCTATGTAGTTCTATTGTGTTCTTTCCGACCACGGATCCAAGCATGTTCGCGTTCTTTATTGAAGTTCACTAGAAGTTTTCGAAAATATCCATGAAATCGGCTCACTTTGATAACTTTTAAACTAAGAAATTTGAATAAATTTGCGAAAAATTGAGCAGAATATCTACCTAGAACTGATTAATTTCATATATTCTTAGAGAATTAATAAAACATTACTTATGCAGTTCTTCGTCTGAAATAAAAGAAAAATCTGTGAAAAGAGAACGTGAATTTCGGAAAATCCCTGGATTTTATTTCGTGAATATATTTACGCCATATACAAATTCAAGAAATAACAACAGAAACCTTTAACTAAATTGGATACAATTTTTGTAACATACATATGTACGTAATAAAATTCACTTTTCCTGAAAAATACGAATTTATCTTTAAGTCTTGCCTCCACAAATCGCTTCTGGAACATATCTTCCCGACTTTTAACGTTTACCAAAGAAAAATACGTTCACCGTAGTCCCTTTTTCCCAAACAGAAGTCATCTGAAAATTATTCGCGCGCGTAACCGCCTCGAACAAATGTTCGCGGTACCAAACGGAACCGCTCCGAGCATCGCTCGAGTATTTTGACAACTTTTACTGCGACAAAACAGCGCGGTTTCGTTCTCGTCGTTGGCGTTTCCCGCCCGAAGGAGTAAAAAATTCAATTTTTTCCCTGTAAAGAAGAGAAATGGGTTCGCGCCGGGTATTATGAAAACACCTCTCGGATCGCGGTTTGAAAGGATGCGGCACGTGCTGGGAACGACGCAAGAAAAATGTTGCGTGAGGGAATTCTTTGTTCTCACCTGTTAAACAATGTAATTTCGTCGTGAATTGTTTTTACCCGCCGAGGTTTCCGCGGAGGGTAATTTTTACGTTGTAATTCGAAACTGTCCAACGCGTGCGGCCAAAGCCGCGACACGGTCAAAAATATCGATGCGTTGTTTTTCCTCTACCTTTTTTCCCTGGCTCGGCAAAGCCGCAGCGCGAAAGTTTCGGCGTGATAAAGGTGACACGACTAGCGGTATCATACATATATGCAACCCGGCCGCGAGTTACGACCGCTGCCGTTCCCGTTCCACGGTTCCTCCATAATTTAGGAGATGAATTTCAAAACGGCGCATCTACATTTTTTAGGCGGGCCGCGTTTCCAGCGCGCGTAAAAATAACTGCGGAAATAACGCAGTCGTTTGGAAACGCCTAGTAGATTTGAGGATATCCGTACGTTGACCGTAATGGAGCCTCAGTGTATAGCCGGTTGCCGATCGGAGGCGATCCTCGTGGAACTGGGTGTAAGAGGAGAATGTTTCTTGAAAGAAAGAGATGAAAATGAAAACTGAGGAAAATGAACAGAGGGTTTTACGCGTAGTCATTTTCCTGCAGTGCATGATACAGGATCCCAGAGAATTTGAATATTATTCGCTACTGTCTTCACTTTGTAAGAATATGAACATTTTTTTCATTGCACTCAGTTGAATCGCTATCGTTGATTAAAATTAGTTATAAATAAGAATTGAAATATCATGCTGCGAGATTCATAATTTCGTGATACATCATTTTGTGAGCCTCTATACGTTACAGATCTTAATTGAGGATTCTCTGAGACCATCATTTCAGGATCTTACTTAAGCTTGTAGAATAAAGTAACCCATCAGTCTGAGTAATTAACAGCCGCGAATAATATGCAACAGATTAATATGAACTATACACTCGTTAATACAAAGTAAGTTTAAGAAAGCGAAGCGATGAACGACTTAATGTAACATTTCCTTGAAACGGTAACGCCGGGTATAAACTCGAATATTAAATGACAAAAATGAATCACAGTTCGTCTCGCAGAGGACAGGTCGAATAAAATGAATACACCGGAAGCCGCGGAGTCCCAAAGAACTGGTGCGATCGTCTTTGCAACTCAACGTGCCTCGCGGTATCTCGCGTGCTGCGCTTAAGTACAATAGATATAATATATTTCATATAATAACGTAAACAAGATAGTGGTTTTTGTACAAATATCCCTTAATATAAAAATCATGCTCGCCCCCGGCCGAGAGAACGGTCACGAGAGTCGATTGGCGGCCATTTTGGCGTACTCTCCCGGCGCAATGTCTTTCGTCGGCTCTTGCGCGCGTCTCTGAACAAAATTTCCGTCCTTCGATGGAACGTATGTTTGACTGCTTGATTGGGCGATGCGGAAACGCGCGACGCGTCGATTGGAAACGATGACCGGGCAACGTGGCGTCGTGTTACAGTTCTTATACATGAAAATATTCGTTTCGATGCGCCAACTCTTCGCATTACGTCTTAATCGTTAATAGGACCTAAAATTGTGTGATCGGCAGTTCACGTGTCAAGGTACTTTCGATCAGTTTTCATCCTTATCCTAAGACTGTTTCTCGTCGCCGCTTCAGCTCCGCGAGTGATCTGAATCCAGGCTCTCAAAAAACATCGACGAAATTGGTTTCTATCTATCGTTTCGTTGGCTGCGACGGAAATCACCGAAATGTCCCGCGACAACGGAGACCTGGGCATTCCCTTTCCCCGTAGACATTTAAGTAAATTACCACAGTTCCTCGGAACATGAGCGTTTGTTCCTTGTCAGTCACCAGAAATATCACCGTGAGAGGTTGGACACGACGATCCTCGACGAGTCCGATTCGCAAAGTCAGTCGCATCGAATACCCTGAATCCAAAAATGGCGACCGGAGCAGGTGGACTTCGAAACGCGGAAAGTTCGGTCTCTGATGCTTGTTGAGAATCGTTAAGGGTCAACGTTACCTCCAACGTTTGCGCTACTACTGTACAAATAAGTTCTTTATACTGTATAGATCCTAGTTTCGTAACTACTATAAACGCAAATCGTGTAATTACGAACTTTTTCCCAACGAATTACCAATTAATAACCAATATATATTTTAACAAATCTATACCCTTCAACGTAAAGACAAGAAGCCAGTAGCCTTTCTCAGAAAACAAACATCAAAATTTAACTTCCAACAGCATCGAAAGCGTCGAGAAAGAATTGTGTATTCCGCGGTTCAACGTGCACCAACCCGGTCGCCCACCGCTACGTCCACGGGATCGCCGCGTGTTATCTATGATAGCCGTATCCATGGCTGGTGAAGACGGTGGCCTTTAGCGTGATGGACGACACCTGGGACGTCGTGCGATCCTTGGACGCACAGATTTTGAGATGCTTATCGTACGCGCCGTGCTTCCACAGCTTGTGCAACTCCAGTGAAGCCTTGGTGTGGTACGGTTTGTAGACGGATCCTCTAGCGAGCGAATCGCTGGGACACTGTACGCACTTGAGAAGCCTCTGGTCGGTCGATCGACGTCGATACCTCTTCTTCAGCTCGTTTATTATGAGCATCTTCTTGTTCGCTGGCCTGAAGGCTGCATCCTCTGGCTGTTCTACGTCTACAACGTTCTGATCAGGGACAGTCAGATCGTCGTCCTCGAACTCCTGGTTCCACGTGACCTTCCTCGGTTGGCTCTGCTTCCTAGACCGTCTCTCGCTCGGCTTCCGCTCGGTACAAGGACACTCGGGAGACTCCATGGCCTGGCACGTGTTGGTCACCGCTCGGTAGCTGCACGCAAAATCAGGATTTAGTATAGCACAGATATCCGCGGCCGGTCCAGCGCTGCGACCAACGTCTACGACGGTATCTAGGCGACTGTCTAGGCCTCGATCGTGCACGGTCTCAGGACGGGGCACCTCGCAACCGTGGGGGACGGCCCGCTCGTGCTTGTGATCGCCGCTCGGGTCGCTCGACCGCCTCCTCTCCTCTTCCAATGTCGGGTACGCCATTGTCGCTGCAGTTGCAGGGGAGTTTACCATCTCGTGGCTGCAACCACCGCGGCACTGTTCCATAAGTTACGTTCGCGTCATTTTTCTACCAGTGGAAGGGCGACCCGACGCTCGACGGCGCGGGTACGCTCTCACGAGCGAAGAAGAAAAGACAACACGTGGTACAACAAGATGGCGGCCGCGGGCCGCCGCGCTGCAATGGCGGCCGGAGCCCGCGCCCGCCGCGAGAAACACCGAAAGCAGAGACAAACGAAAGCGTGCACGCGCGAACGAAAAGGTATTAACGAGACCAACCAAAAAATGACGCTGCAACGTAACAGAAAATCGGAGAGGGAGCGGGAGAGCGGGAATTCAGCGACCGGTCGCAATACACGTCGCAATTTTCTGTAATTTTCATTTCTCTCGCTTTACGAGTAGCCATTGAAAGAAAATGATTCGAGAGAACATAAGGTTTTGTGTTTCACTTGCGACCTGTTGCTGAACAACGTCGACCCGGCGTGATGAATGATTATTGTGTGTATTGTGACGGCCAAAAGAACGGTCACGCGATACCATCTTTTCACTGGGAAAACTGACAAATTTTGGCTCCGCTGTGCTTCTTCGTAAATCCTT